CAATAACGATGAGGCATCACTCACCTGGCTGGTGATTCGTGAAGCCCTCTGGGTCGGCAAGAGACTCTGTGCAGCAGGCTTGGAGAAATATCCAAACTGTACTGCTGTACTGGGGAAGTTGAGACCATTGGTCACGCCTTTTTTCGGTGCAAGGCGGTAGTGCCGTTGTGCAAGTTTGTTGAAGGCCCCATGGTTCGCATGTTGCAGGGAAAGTTTTTTGTCCTTGAAGCTAGCTCTGTTTGTAGCAATGTGGTGCCGCAATTGATTTGAAGGCTGAACACTATGTGTTCTGTTGCTTACTATGGGTTATGAGAGTCGTGATTTGGACGACGCGTCAGAAGGATTCCATGAGGGCGAGAAGTTCACCTCTTCCCAACTGATCTTGTACTTTAAGCATCAGCTTAAAGTCAAGATTAGGACGAAAAGCGGCGGCTCACCTCATCAGAATTCAGCAAAAGGTGGGTGAATCTTGCGCGTTTGTGCCGTGTAAAAGGGGCTGACTTGGAGTGGCATTTTGATGTCGGTTAGGCATCAGGATATTGTTTTCCTGGGTTGAACATGGACAACCCTTCCTAAAATTTAGGTTAGAGTAGATTTTTTATATTTTTCGTTTAGTTTTTCTTTCCTGTTCTGATAAACTTAGCTAGGGTGTGTTTGCTCATTGGTCCCCTTTATTTCTGTCCCCACTTTTTTTTTTTCCTTTAGTTTAACTCCCCGTCCCTCCCTCGTTTAGGTGGTCAGTGATGTCAGTTCTCTGGTGGATGCGGGGCGCCTTTCGTTTCGTGCGTGTGCTTTCGTATTTGTTGTTGTGTATGGATGAGTGAGTGCTTGTGTGAGTGCTTGACGGTTTGAATGTGTCCTTATTTTTATAGTCTCGCATCGATTTCGTCCGGTTAACTGATATTTCTGCCACATTCAAAGTTTGTGGGGGTTTTAATACTAACACTAATTTTGTTTAGTTTCTTGTAAATATATTTCGACATATTGTATATACTCATTGGGGATTTTTAAAAGTTGTTGTTTTTATGCCCCCCCCCCACAGACAATATTTGTACATAAGGGGTGTATTTAGGTTTTCATTGAGTCAAAGAAGCATTTTGGTGGATGTAGTAAGAAAGGTATGGATAAATGTGTTGTTTTGGTGATAGGAATATTGTTTAGTATGATAGGGTCAGTGATTGTGGCTAGCTAAGTTTTATTTTAAGACAAGTGATGACCGTCCTTTTCCCCAGCCCCCTTTTCGGCCTTGTGCCACATTTGTACATAGTACAATAAATAATGAGAATTTACCACGACCAAATTTGCTAAACGACTTCACGACGCTTGAATCATTACTGCAGTGAAGTACAAAGTTGGAACCTAAAGTTCTTTAACATGAAATAACTTCACTGAAAATCAAGCTACAATTTCAACGAAACGTCTCACTCACCAACTTGTAAAATTTTATATTCTTATTCAATTACGTTGTTGAATCAGACGAAACTTACAAACAATTAAGTTAAAGTACAAACAATTACGAACAATACATTTAAATACGAGCAACGAAAACAAACGGAACATTCACTTCTCCAACTTCTTTAAAGCTAAAAGTTTATTAACATATTTTCAGCTTTATAAGATTCTCTTTCAGTGAACATTTTGAACTACAAGTTAATTCAGTTTTTGTGAGCTCGGATAAAAAAATTTTTTTTTTATGAGTAAAAAAAACATTAGCCCAGTCAAAGGGAAGTAACTCTTATTATTGTTATTGTAAAACTGTTGTCATTTATTGTTCCTGTTAAGAAAACTTATTTTCTTGTATTTTTTCTCTTGTTTGCTTTTTATTTTCTTGCACATTCGTAAAGTAAAAAATGTGTGGGTTGATTTATTCCGTCAATACCACTACAACATCAAAGTCTACTTTCTCTGAGCAATTAAAGGACTGGAAGAATCATAAAATTTATAATAGCAGATTGGGGCAAAATGTCAATTATTTTTACTGACTTTTTACTCAAAGAAAAAAAACTATTTTTCTTGATTTTTTTTTTTACAATTTCATGCATACATTTTGTTAAAAATCCCTTTTTTAAATTAAAATATTGAAAGTGAAATTAATTGTAGAAAAATTAAAGAGCTTTAATATAATTCCCAAAATATATCTTTCACTCAGAGAACAAGGACTGAAATCATACAGAAAACAAGGAACAAAATTAACACTAAAGTAAAATAAATGTAGAGTTCTCACTTTTCCATTAAAACCATTATTTCATAAGAGTCAAATTCACAAGCCACTGAAAATGCAGTTTTCAGTGAGTCTCTCTAAGAATGTCCTTGTTCTTGCTAGGCATATGCAAATGAAATAATTCTTAGTCTCACTTACTTTTTGAACAGTCAATATATTTTTGAATCTTAAATACACCAAAATTATGCAATCTCAAGTAATTTCCTCAGGAAATAATATTTCTTTTTATAAAAGGAAAAAAAAAAATTATATAGCCTTGTTAAAATAACAGATTCATAAAAGATGTCAACCTGGAGCCTTATTTTAAGTGATACCAGATGGAAAACAATAAATAATTATTAATATTTATCTTTTTTTATAATTAAGTCAAAGAACAACAACAAATTAGATTAAACATGAAAAACTAAAAAGACATGTTCATACATATCTGTGTTTCAATGATTATCATGCAAAGAAAATGTAATTCTAAAGTCATTGGTGTTCTCTGTGAGTGTGTATATATATATATATATATATATATATATATATATATATTGTCATCCACAGACAAACTGTTTCGCTAGCTAGGATCAAAGCCTGGCAGAATTGGCATCAGTTGGAGATTCTATCCCTAAGCTGTTAGTGCATGGCAGGGATGAAGGTGAATTTAAGTATATATATATATATATATATATATATATAATTATTTTAAAAAAATATGATTCCATTGCTGCATAAGAGTTCTCATGTTTTAAAAATAGAAGCTAAAAAACCAGCTCTATTTCATTTTCAAGTGAATTGTGGAATAACTAATCTTGAAATTTATGGAGCTTTATAAGCATATACATTCATAATATTAATTACATGAAAATGGTGAAACCAATTATTGTAATAAGGGGCAAAAGGATTAACATATTGTATCAACATATTAGTTACTTTCAGAAAGAGGTTAAGGTAGGGTCGGGGTGTCTATTTTCAAGCGAATGATGACATCAATTTGAAGCATGTCATCTGGTCTGTTTCAACGACAGAGAGTTGTTGGCATTATTGTTATGCCATTAAATTCATATTTGTATAACTAAAGATTTTTTTTTTCTAAAAGGGTTGTTTGTAGATAAATATGTTGCATTGAACTACAATTTGTTTTTTGACAACTTCATAATAGGTTTTTTTATCTTATGATTGGGTTGAGCTTTTAAACCTTTTGCTTGAAATTGAAATTGTTTATAGACTATGAAATTTAAAAATTTTTAAGCTAATTTTTTAAGGCGAAAATTTGTTGATGTCGGCAAAAAACCATAGACATGAGTTAACAGCTATATTTAAGTAACTGATAAAAAATATAGTAAAGTATTTGAGAATATTCCCACTTTTGCAAGCACTAACTGTGATTATTACTACTTCCCTCTTTAAAGGGGGAGTGAGGGGTGGTTACAGTTGGTGATTACAAATTTATGAAAAGCAATTACCATTTATACAAGCAATCAGACAATCGATTTTTAAACTGACAGTTATGGTGAAAGATTTATGACCATGATTTTAAATCTTTTTGAAAGTTTATTTAAAAAGTTTTTAAAAGTGATTTTAAACACTGGTCTGCATTTTACTATATATATATATATATATATATATATATAGAGAGAGAGAGAGAGAGAGAGACAGAGAGAGATCAGTAATTCCATGGTTTGATTTTAATCTGAATTTGTTATTGCATTGTTGGGGATTAGTGAATGTATTTGGTTAAATCAGAAGGAATTTTTTAGGTGGCGTGTTCATTAACATTCATCCACAACAAATAATAAATGAATATTTAGAACAGGTCATGCAAAGCAGAGTTAAAAATAAAGACAAGTAAAATACACAACAATACGGTAATTTATATACAATTTAAATATATACAAATGAGTTATGAATTGGTGATTTGTTGTATATTGATGTAATAAGACATGTAGTTTGTTGTTGAGTATGTTTGAATGCTTAAATCAGTGTTTTGATGATTTGTTGTAAGAATTAAACACTTTGCTGTTCAACATACAAAAGTATCCGATTTTACAGTTCATATGTTTGTGTGTGTATACGAGTGTTATGTAAAATTTTCTTAAGTTGTACGAAGTTGCGTACATTGAACTGGTAATTGTTAAATGTTTTGTTTGTTACTGTTACTAATATGTAGTGAATATATATTTTACTTTCTCAAGTAAAGTAAATGAATTTTTGAGAAGTTTGTTTAAAAGAGAGATTGAGTATGCCAAAAGGTTGTTGAGTCAGAGGTTAATTCATGTGGGGAAAGTCAAAGTTTAAACTGGCGTGGAATTGGTTGGCATCTCTCTGAGTGTGGAATTCTGACTGGTAAGTTGGTTCAAATTTCTTTCTTTTATAGGTTCTGGAAAGGAAAAATAGGCTCAAACACATTTGAGCGCCAAAGGCATTTTTCACGTGCATACTTAGTTTTTAAAGGCTGTTAGCCATTGAGAAATTGAGTTTGTCAGAACTAGTGTTTTGATTGGATAACAGGTGTGTGGGTGTAAGAATGGATTGTTTTGCAAAGGGGTGAAAAGGTAACATGGATTATTCCACAGCATAATATACAAACTATATGTATAAAATTTATCACTGAATGAAATGCATGAAAAGAAATTATGTTGACAAATATTTATGCTATTTTAACCATATATATATCATGAAATTTTTTTTATATATATATATATATATATATATATATATATATATATATATATAGTATGTACATTTGTGAATAAAGCATTTACTGATATTGATAGAGTGACACTTGCAAACTCACTTGTATATGCCCTAATATTTCCAAACAGCATTCATCTTCCAATTTTTCATATTTTGTAGCAATTTCTGGAATTGTGCTTCTCATTTGGTCAATCAAACACATTAACATCATTGGGTTGGCCAATGAGCTGATAGATTTATCACTTTTCAAAGCTAAATTGCCCAAATATGAATCATCATCTTTCAGCCAGTGGACTATGGTTGACATCATCTCAATTGCTTCTTGCTGAAGATAATTTTTGAAAAATACAGAAGTAATAAACAAATAGGATACATAGATTTTCTACAGGAATTTTGTGCAGTCTTTGAATTGGACATGAAATAATATAATTTAATACTGAATATTACAAATGGTAGATTGACTATTTATAAATTTATATTTGATGAAAGACATTATCATTAATGATAATGCTTAATGAAAAACAGCATTATCATTAATGATAAAAAGCATCCAAATTACAATATTCTATATGATTAATGTATGCAACATTCAATCATTCTACATTCATCAAGAAGTAATATAAATCAAAAGTAAAGACTAAACCTCTTTGTGAGGCTTAAACTCACACCTCTTTTCCATAGAAAGTTTGGAATTAGGTCATAACTGGATCTTATTTGTTGTCAGTCAGTTTTTCTATTCCAAGAAAATCAGCCTGAGAATAAAGGAGTTCAGTTTTTAGATTTTATTGTTGCTGAATAACATGAATGTTTTTCACAATACATTCGTTACTGAATTTCATCAGGGGTGTGATCAAGTTGCTGCGTAAGGACAATTTCATGTTAGTAAGATAATGTCAGTAATATCAGTGTTTTTAAGTGACAAATGGGAAGCATTCTGCATGTTGTAGGTATATAGACAGATATATACAAATGATTGAATTAACATTCAATTTTCAAAATTATGTTTCAGTTTCCCTCCAATTTCCTGAGTGCAGTGTTGTCAGCTGATGAATATCATCATAGAAATAAGATTATAAATAAATATCAACAGTGTGTGAATCGCTATACATGAAAAAGTTTAAAAACAGGTTTCTTGTATAGAATGATAATTTATGAATAAAAAGTTATCTAAAATTGAATATGCTGATATTTGGTCATTGAAATAATGATTCTGTAAAGTAGATTGGGCTAAAAACTTTACAGCACATTATTATACTGTTTAAAATATAAACAAGAAAGACTAATAGACTTATTCAAATTAGTTGATAATAATCATAACTCACCTTAAAATGATCACTATTAGAAGCCTTAAAGAGTTCAGACATTCCCAACACATAAAAACATTCTGTGAATATTGTTCTCTGGTATTTGATTGGGTCTCCACTTTTGGTTACAGCAAATGCACACTTCTGGGTTTCTTTATTTTTGATGTGCTGACTTAAAAACTCAGCTCCTTTCAATGATAAAAGGAATGAAATAATTGCATCCTGGAGAAGAAACTGAAAATGATACAAGTTGACTCAAAAATATTTTTGTTTCTTTTCTCAGAGTAGAGGATTATATTCCTTTAGCTGATTGCATTTTAAAAAATTATGACTATCTCTCATTCTCTTTTTTATGCTATTGCCACATGTTCACAAAAAATATCTAAAAATTTAATCAGTGACTCTTCTAAGAAACTCAGCAAAAAATTGAACAGACAGGCCTTGTTAGTTGGATTCAATAAAACATTGTTTAAAATTTGCTATATTTCATAGTCTGAAGATCACTTGAGACATGAAACTGATAGTCAATATGAAGTTTTGATTTCTGTGTCTACTATCTATCTATCTATCTATCTATCTATATATATATATATATATATATATATAAATTATATTAAGAAACAGACAACTTTAAGAGTTCAAGTTGATCATAATTTATTTCCTTAGAATCAAAATATATATAATATCTAGTTATCTCATTTACCTAACCCTATACCTATATATTAGATTTTACTATGCAAGTCAATATTTTCAGAATAATATTGGTAATAAGCAAGTGATAATTAAAATCTTCAGAATATATTTATATAACTATATCCATACAATGTGAATTTTAGCTTATAATATGCTTTTATTACAAGTATAGTTTGGTTCAAGTTTGTGTCCTTCATAGAAATAGTCATTTAAATCATTTTAAAATACAACAATAGTAAAGATAGAGTATAATTTGGGGATAATATTATTGGCAGTAAAATTATAGGTCTCTTCAACCATTGGGAAGTACCTAAAAATCATGCCATGTATTGACTCAAGCCTTGTAAATGAAATTTAGTAGATGGAACAGTTCACAAGCAATGTTTGTTTGAAGCCACAGATCTTTATCATCAAGGGTTTGAATGAACTGGTATTGTTTAACTATTGATCATGCAAATAATGTATCCTATCTCAGAAATTGTAACTAAGGTTGGATCGACATAGTTGCAGTATAAACCACAGATTGGCTCTGTGGATGTTGAAGAAATATAAATGTTTCTGAGCAGGCATTTGCAACAAGGATTAGGTAGCTACCCTAGCAGAAAGGTATACTCAGTGTGTCCAGCTATACACACACATACAAATATATACATATGGATAAAAACAAAAGAAAAAAATTTCTTTACCAATGCATCTTATCCTCTGATGGTTTTTATCAAGGCAAATGTAAGGATTTTATTTTGCAACATGTATTTATAAACAGAAGTAAAAAATATCATTGATATATTTGTGGTTATATCTGAAATATTACACACACAAACACGTGTGTGTAATATTTCAGATATAACCCAAAATATATCAGTGAAAGTTCTCCCTTTGTCATTATTCTTTATTCATATATATATATATATATATATATATATATATATATATATATATATATATATATATCAAAAAGCACTGTTCAATACAACCAGCACTTTATGCGCAGTTCATATTCATATATATATATATATATATATATATATATATATATATATATATATATTAAGAAATGGACAAAAGTCCGACAATTTTTATTATTTAATACTGTTTATTATAAACAGAGCATTTACTTAAATACTTGTATCTATAAAAAAGAACGTTAAACATAAAATGTCTTTTAATAATATATATATATATATATATATATATATATATCAAGCACTGTTCAATACAACCAGCACTTTATGCACAATTCATATTCATATATATATATATATATATATATATATATATACTCTTTTAGTTAAATGTTGACAGATGGGGCAATCATATAATCACTACATTTCAGAAACCGTGGGTTAAATAGTAGACTGGGTTGTCGAGACTTGGGTGGCAGCCAGTCTAAGAGAAAGACAACTCAATTCAAAGAGCAAATTGATTTAGAATCATGGAAAAGTTATTGAATTTCACAGATAATAAGAAAAGGAATATGTGGAGAGCTGTGATTGTTTATGTCCTGAAAGGAAATGGCATTAAAAAAGTTATTTTATTCTTTGATGGCTAGTGATCATCATCTTTTTAGCAGGTTCATCAATATAAAATTCAAAAAGTTTTATATTTTGGATTCTCAGTATATTCAAAGTTTGTTGATGAGATAATGAGAAGCTTTTTCAGTCAAATTGTCTAACCACTGGACAGACAGCAGGACTCAAGTAAAATTTGAAATTAACATTTTTACAGAAGCCGATGACAATCTAGCATTGGCCCCATTCTGGCTGATCGCATTGTCCTAATGGTCAAACTTGAATGGTTGAATCACTGATATGATAAGATGTTTGGTTTTTATATATAGTCATAATTAGAACATATCAATCCCTGTAATAAACTCACCTTTTATGGCTGCTTCTAAAATATCCTGTCTTTGAAATCTTTTTACACTGTTATAAAGTCTAGCATATGTCCATACCTAAGGGGAAAAAGCAGAAATTAGTGATTGTTGAAAGTGTGTATTTAAATTCATTCTTATTATGATATAATTCAGTTCAATTTTAGATTCAGAAGATTTCACTAAATTTTGTTATTACTTAATTAAATGATCCACAGTAATCAACACAAACTTTAATTACAAGTTATTTTACCCACCCAAAAAGAAGCAGTATATACTCATATCCCCAAATGGTAGGATTTAGAAATTTTTAACCTATAATTTGAGAATTACTACTCCAAAAACATTATAACTGCACACAAAAGATAAATATAGAAGTAATATTTCGTAATATTGTACAATCTGTATAATCATGGAATCAATCAGTTTCTATAAAATAAAATCAAGAGGTTATGAATTCCACTATTCTTGGATGGCAGTGTTGTCTTCTGGCAGAAAATTGTTTCTAGTTATTCTGCTACATCTACTAAAACTTGGTCAACAAAAAACAGCTTTGAAATTATGTTCAGTAGATATATAGTCAAGGAGAAAATTATTAGCCCCCACTCCCAGATGAAAACATTTTTCCAAGTGCTTTTTAATAGAACAAGAAATTTCTAACACAGCATTTTAAAACATACAAGCCTTCTTTAGAAAGAGTAAATTTCTTTTTATTTGTACACAACAATAGAATTGTTTCAAACAAACCAAAACTTACAGAATCAATATTATTAGCTCCCACCTTAAGAACTGTCCCCTTTTGTTGAGCCATAGCATACTGATGTGCTTTAACTTATACATTTACTCTAACCTTATGAATTGAAACTAACATCTAAGTTTATCTTCCAATACAGACACATTATAACAACTTAAGGATTTGAGATGTTGTTTGGGAAAGCATCATGTCAAAAACAAAAGAAATAAGTTTAGACTCTAAAAACAGAATTGTTGATACACTCAAAGTTCTCAAAGAATTTCTCAAGTGTCAAGATCTGGAATGAGAAATAATATCAAGTTCAAAAACAGCCACACACTACAGAACAAGACTGACAAAGGTAGGAAGTAAAAGGTTTCAAAGACTGGAAAGAAAAGTAATTAGAGATGTAACTAAAGACCTTAGAACAAATGCTAATACACTAGTGAATGCGTCAGCCAACTTTGGAATTGAAGTTTCAAAGACATTCACTAGAGCCCTGCACAAAAATAGATTGTGAGGTTATAGAGCAAGAAAATTTTAATTCTGCAGAAGACACCTCCAAGACAGTTGGAAGTATGCTAAGGACAAGCTGGAGAAAGATCACACACACCCACATACACACTGAAATTATGTTATTTGGTCAGATGAAACAAAACTGGAGGTCTTTCACTTTAGAGATTAGCCTATGTTTGGAGAAAAGAAGGAGAGTCATATAACCCAAAGAAAACCATCTATCATCATCATCCTTCAAACTCCCTATGGTTGGTCAGAACTCCATTAACAATCCCTTTTTACACTGTTTGGTCCTGTATTGCTGTTCCCAGATCCCCAATGTCCAACCTTGAGTCCTGAGCTATGGTGTTTGGAAAAGTCAATTTTCATGAGAAGACACTTCCAGAAGAGTGCCATAAGAGTAAGGATGAGATTACTTCCCTGTCTGCTCGGCGGTAGTGGCCAGCAAACTATAGTCATTTTTGCTTGAGCTTAAGATAGATTGGTCTCAATTCCCCATAGATTCTGTTAAGTGTTGTATGGGATCTCCAACTGATGTTCTGGATTTTTCTTAGTAGATTTGTATATGCTCCATCCAGTCATCTTTCCAGATGAACAGATAATATCCAACTTTCTGATCTATAGAGTAGGACTGGTTCAATCATTGTTTGAAAAGTATGGACTTTGGATGGAAGATTTGAGTGCCAGATCTTGTCAAGTTTGTTAAATGCATCCGATGCAAGAGCTTTGCAAAAGTTAAAAACTTTTTGGGAATCTATGATGTGAGATTCAAGCTGTTTGAAGTCCTCAACTCTTTTGATGGATGTACAGCTGTATCTTGGGTTACGTCATTTTGAGTTAAGTTGTTCTCAATTATACACCATTTGTCAAAAAAGATATATGGAAAAATAAAAATCAAGTTTAAATCATTTTATTCAACTTTATGCCTGTCTGCTACAAATATTGAAGTCATAATATCACTAGAAAAGCATTAAAAGCACCTAAAATCATGTTACTATACAATAAATAAGAATAAAAGTATATAAAATCATATTAAAATATGTACATTTACAGTAAATCATAAATCCTATAGAACAAAATATGAAAACATCTGTGACTGTGTTAAGAGCTCAATATTGGTGTTTTCCATAGTAGTTCAAATATCTACCATTTGGCATCATTGTCAGCACCACACGATTCCCACAAAAATGAAATCCAGTTTAGTTTAGGCATATGTATGTTATCATATATTCTCTCATTCTCATTCATTTGTGACTTTACATTTTGCCCCGATGGCTCCTAAGAAAATTCCTAGTGCAAGTGCTAAGCATCATGCTATAATGTGGGACGATAAACTTACTTTGATAAAACACCATGAAAAAGGTGAAAAGGTTATATCAATTGCTCAATCTTTTTGTATCGATGATTGTTCACAGTAAGGATAAGATTTTGGCACATATCAAATCTGATGACCCATGGAGGAAGTATACTGTTATCAATAAGAAAAGAGGAAAAATCTTTGAAGAGATGGGACAACTTCTTTCTCTTTGGATTGATAGGTTGAATCGTCAAGAAAGTGTTGTCTTTGTTTGGGGACCTGAACAAAAAATACCCAGATGAGAAAGATGTAGAGTTTAAAGCGAATCAAGGCTGGTTTATGAGATTTAAAGAATGAAGAAGTTATCACTCTATTAAAAAGAAAGATGAAAGTGCATCAGCTGATGAACAAGCAACAGCCGATTTTCCTAAAGCATTAGCTAAGATCATTGAACAAAATGGGTTTCTTCCTGAACAGATTTTTAATGTTGACTAATCTAGATTATATTGAAAAAAATTGCCAGACCATTCTTTCATTTCCAAAGAAGAAAAATCAATTCCAGGCTACAAAATCTCAAAAGAATTTGTAACCATTATGTTAGGAGATAATTGTGCTGGAGATTATAAATTAAAACCACTGCTGGTGTATCATGCATACAACCCACCCCCCAATGTTCTGAAGAATGCAATCAAGGCACCTCTTCCTGTTATACGGATGGCTAATCCAAAAGCATGGGTCACTGTTGTTATTTTTGAAGATTGGTTCTTTAATCATTTTATCCCTGCAGCAGAAAACTATTGCAAGAAGGGGATTCCTTTTAAGATATTATTAATAATTAATAATGCTCCTGACCACCTGAAAAACATTGTAGATTTTCATCCCAATGTTACCATTGTGTACCTCCCTCTGAACACCATGTCTCTTATACAACCAATGGATCAGGAAGTCATTGCAATCTTCAAGTGTTACTATATAAAGTGTACGTTGCAGCAAGCAATAGCTACAACTGATCTTCATGAGTCATGCACACTTTATGACTTAAGTAAGAAGTATGACATATATAAGGCTGTACAGAACATAGCAGCAGCATGGAATAATGTTCAGAACATGGCTATGAATAGTGTGTGGAAAAAACTATGCTCAAAATTTGTGAATAATTTCAAGGGGTTTGATAATGTTGAAATCAACAAAGCATTGGTGATTATGAGCAAAGAGCTGGAAATGGATTTGGAGGAGGAGGATTTCATAGATTTATTTGAAAAAGACAAGCAGCCCCAAATGAATGAGGATTTAATAGAGCTCAATGAGTAGCAAAAAAAGAAGTCGAACCTGAGCCACGTCACTTTTCCCTAAAGAAAATACAGGAAGCATTTGCTTTTATTGAAAATGGACTTCAAATCTTCGAGGATATGGACTCAAATGGTCAACACTTTTCAAAAGTTATGCACGCTTGTCACAAAGCTTTTGCTCCTTATCATGTAATACTTGAAGAAAAGAAGAAGATAGAATAGGAAGTTGTGGAGAGTCATGTCTCCTACATTCTGAAGAGACATGGCATATAAAATTTTTGAGCTGAATGATTAAACAAATGAATGTCATACTAAATAGTGTGTCATATGCTTATACTTTTTGTGAGTTTATAATATCATTTTTGTATTATATTCTAAGTTATTGACAAAAATGGCACAACTATTAGTATTTGCATAAAGATAGATAGCAAGTAAGTCAAGTATTAATAGCAACTAGCACTGTAGATGACAGACTTGGGTAAGTTTAGGTTTCTGCAATGCATTGAAAAAATGACTGATATAAATAAATCAATTATTAATATATATATATATATATATATATATATATATATATATATATTAAAAGGTGGTTAATATATATATTAAAAGGTGGTTCCACACTCCTCAAATCCTCCAATCTTCCAATCAGAAGACTTGCTGCTGGATGTAGGTTATCGTCATACCCAGGACATTATAGATCAAATGCACTCTTCTCATAAAGCATGGATTGAGAACAAGAACTTGTCCACTAAGAAGATCGCTTACAAGAAGTGCAAAAGCCAGGTTCAAGGAGCTCTCTGAGCCATGAAAAAGCATTGGTAGTCTGAAAAGGCCACTGAACTTGAAGAAGCTTCAAATAGAAAGGATGTAAAGGCTTTCTATGCTGGCTTCAAGAGTGTTTTTTTTGGTCCTCAGAAAAGTGGTGTTGCTCCAATCGCCACAGCAAATGGTAAAACTCTCTTGACGGATAAGTCAGACATTTTGGATTACTGGAAAGAGCATTTCAAAACTGTATTAAACACCACTTTAGTTACTGATGAGGAAGCCATCACATCAATTGTGCAAAATCCAGAAATTCTAGAGTTGTCTTTTGAAGCTACCTATCAAGAAGTAAGTGACTCCATCAAGCAGATCTCATCTGGAAAATAACCTACTCCTAAGGATCCTATTCCACCTGAAGTGTATAAGCATGGTGGCCAAAAGTTGGTAGAAAAGTTGCATCTTCTTTTCATGATGGTATGAAAGG